ATGGAGGATTTCCTGGATAAATATATATATATATATACACTAATATATATATATAATTTTTTTTTTTTTTCTCGAGACAGAAAATTCCCTTTGGTTATCTTCTAGGTGGTAGTTTCTATCCTTCAGACTGCATCAAAAATACTGACAGTTAAAAGTCTGGTACCATTCTGTATTTATTGGCACTAATATATTTTATAACATTCCTAGGTTTCTCTGCATATATATATTTATATATATAAAATATATACATATATTTTATATATATATACACACACACACACACTTTTTTTTAATGAATGATGGGGATAGACTCCTGCCTTTGTGGATTTTTTTTTTCTATAATTTATTCATTTTATTTGTGTTGGTGCCAAAAAAAAAGATTTTTTTTCTTTTTTTTTCCAAGGCACTGAATTGTAAATATATTTTTTTTTCTTCTCAGTATCTGTGTAAAAAGTTGCCTGTTAAACAGTTTAAAAACTGGGTATTTATTGACACAATCTGTAATTATCTAATGTATTGATTGAAACGCTTTGGTTTCAACATAGCTTTATTTTAGCTTTCTTTGTGTATATATTGTGATTATGTTGCTTAAAGGTACAAGTTAAAAAAAAATGCTTTATTTTTACCTTATCCATTTTCATTTGTTTAAAGAAAGCATATTTGTCTACAGCTGCTGTCTCTCATTTCATCAAAGCAATATGAAGAAATTTCCATTACACTTTCAATAAAAGAATTTTGTTTGGATACGGGACTGCCTTCGCCTCCTTCCTGGCTATTTCAGCACAGACGTTTGCTAATAGTTATTTCTCACTCTAGCTCAAAAATTTGCTGGATCATTGGCGTGGAAGCTATAATAGGTGCTGTAGGTGTTTTGAGCGAGTCCAGCTCAGGGAAGCCGGTGCTGGGCTCTGCGAGGATGGCAGAGCGGGTAGGTGCCTTGGTGGCAGATGTGTCCCCCCTCAAGGGCCAAACTTGCATTGGTGCCTGGCAGCAGGAGCCCACCACGGTCAGTGACCCTCTGTGCTCATCCCCTCACTGACATCGACCCCCCAAGAAAGCACAGGGAAAGCCATAGGGTCCAAAAGCCCTCGGAAGTGGCATAGAAGAAGATCTTGGAGATGCCCACCAGGCATTCTGGTGTCCTCCAGGGAAGCATCTCCTAGTCGAGGGCTTACCACCACCTCGGTGAGCCCTAGCACCAGGGTGGGAGAGCGGAGGTGGAGGGCACATGGCCTTGGCCCCGTAATAGCCCAGGGAGGGGACGCTGCACCCGCTCAGCCTGTGCAGGGCTATGGGGCGATCTGGCCCAGGAGATGGTGGCAGTAGCTTCGCGCTGCGAGGGCACGTCCTCTGAGCTGCCGCTCTGCCTGAGCCTTGCCTCCAAAAATATAAGTGCTCGGCAAAGTGTAGGGAGAGCACCTTGGCAAGGAAACAAGTTGCTGCAGCTGTATCGAAGCCCAGCAAAGTCCTGACCCAGGGGGCTGGGTTGTCTGTCCGCATTCTTCATCACTGGCCAAAAGGTCACCAAGACCCAGCAGGAGCTGGCAAGACCCTGAAGACATTTCCTGTGCCTACAAAGCCTAGCTGGAGCCTTCTTGAAGTCCTAAGAAAAAATAGTTTAATTGCCTGTGGAAGCCAGCACCATGGAGCGGTTTTGAATGGATTTATGTGTCCCCTTGGCCTGGAGAAATATCAAAGAGGAGCCTTCAGCCTGTCCTGGTTCTGGCTTCACCTAACGAGGGAGATTTTGGGATCTCCTTCTTCCGTATTTCATGCAGACAAGAGGGCAGCTTCTTGAAAGCAGTCCAGTTGCTGTAATTAATTCTGGGTGGCCAGGCCCAGAGAACAAGCGTTCCCGCTAACAAAGCTTTTTATGTATTAACTTCCTGGCACCTTCTGACAACTCGCAGAAATGGGGCATTCAGGTCCCCCGCGGATTGATGACACGAAGCAACCCCAGGGCGGCCCATTGACGGCAGTGGGAAGGCAAGGATGCTCGTCCCCTTGCATGCTTGTCCGGAGGAGGATGCACAACGGGACTCCACCTTGCAAACCCACCACCTGCGGCACGTGTAAAATCAGCCCGTTGCCTCTGCACGTCTGCAGAAGCGCAGGGCGTGGGGTGAAATTTTGGATTGGTTGCACCCCCAGTTTGTAAGCCGGTGGCGGGTTAGCCGTGCTGGAGTTGCAGCATCCACGAGGCCGGGGCAGAGGGCGGCAGGAGGCGCCGGCCGCCGAGTTTGACAGTTGTGCTCTGCGACGCGTGACCGCCCGAGGGAAAAAGAGCGCTGCAGAAAAAAGTGAGTGAATGCTAATCAGAGAAGTTCACACAGACCGCAAGCTATTTTTCAGAAATACCAGTCTTTCACAGGTTTGACAGTGGTGTTTAAACACCTCAAAACCAAGTCCAGGTGGGAACGAAAGAAAAGGTCTGTTGCAGAGGTGTTTTCCACTACCATCAAAGTGATGCTAACGCATGAAAATAATACACGTGCCCTTGTGTTGAACAGGTACCTTTTTAGTTCAGCAGCAGCTCGGCAGTCTCGACTGACGAGGGGAAAAAAAAAAGGATTTTACTGCTTTTTAGTCCTGCAATAAGCCTTTTTGTGTAGGGGTGGATCAATCCTTTCCTTTCATGGTCAGGAGAAATGGTGGCTAAGTGTTTACAGCTGCACCTTTCCTCCAAGTCAGCCAGTTTCTCTGCCTGTGACACAGTGTCCTCAGGGCTTGTGCTGGGGAGCCACAGGTTACCCGCTGGTCCCACGCCAGGGACCAGATGGGAACGGATCCTTGGGGTGATTTGATGAATTAATTTGAGATAAAACTGTCGTGCACCTGTGGCTTGGCAGAGCAAGGACTTTGTCCTGAAGAGCATCTCCTGAAGCTGTCTGCTGGGACACCCGCAGCGCTCGCCTTTCAGCTGTGTCACTGCAGTTTTCCCAGTGCAGCTACTTGCAGTGGACCACGACAATTGCTCTTTGAAAGTTGCTTCCTGCTCCATCAGTGTCAGTCCATGCTGAGAAGAAGGAATCAAAAGGGGTATTCAGTCTCTCTTTGACCTCCTTCTGAAATAGCCTTCAGACTTAGCAGTAGCAGTGACTTTTTTTTTTTTAGAGGAGGTAGAAATCAGTGCATCAGGACTGTGGTCTGGCTGCACTGTTTCCAGAGCCTGCCTGGCAAGACCACAATGTCCAGAGGGCTTTTCGGGTGGTGGGCGCATTGTAGAGCAGACCTTATTTCCTGGGATGACTGATCCCTGGAACTGATTTGGGCACACTGCACATTTCTAGTGGCCAGGTCTTGTATCTTATCTGGTCGAGGCTGAGCACCCCTGGGAGATCCTGCGTACTCATATTTCCCTGTGGCTTCTTTGGGAACCGATCACGAGGTTGGGTGGAGCTCCTTAATGCATAACTGGTTGTGAATGAAGCAAGCCTAGCTTGCTTTGTGGCTATTTGTGCGGACACATCAATCCTTGGGACTGCCTGCAGCAAACACACTGGCTTGCAACCATTCCCTGTCACCTAAAGGACCACTGTCTATGAGCAGTAATGCAAACAAGGCAGGCACCTCCATCTGGATGGCAACAAAGCACGTGCAACTGGATAGAGCACAGATTTACGAAGATGAACTGCTCCCCTGAGTCCTTTGACTCAAAAGGGAGCCCAGGGTGAGCAGCTCAGATGCAGTCAAACGCACTGGTGTCAAATGTACTCAAGTGCACCACTCTGATGAATCCTGTCCCCCCTGATATCTGCCCCAGGTCACACGGGATGTTTGTGGTGCAGCTCAGCATCAGCTGCATCCTGTCGCTCAGCCTTAGCCCTCTTCTGCCTCTCTCGGCTACCCACGTGGCATGGAAGTCAGCC